GTTAAGGTCACGGATAGAAAAGATCATGAAGAAACAAAAAAGTATGGGCAGTAAGTTTCAATTCTGCGGAATTAGAAAAAAGCATAACAGAACAATTCTAGATGATTGCAATTCTGATATCGAAATGAATAAAATGAACCAATGTGCAAAGCAACGAGTTTCTACAATTCTTTTTTGAACTCAAGTGTTTTTTGTTTGGTCAAAAAGTGCTACATGTATATAAGTATATTGTAATCATCTTGTTCTGACATGGTTGTACAAACTGCAAAAGAAATGTTGTCATCAAGATACTATAGTCTAGTAGGAAGGTATGATCCCCATGCACCCCAAAGATGTATTTTTTTAATGTACATTTTTGTAATCCTAAAGGTCCATACTTAAGATTTTTGCATGTTCCCAGAATGAAATATTGTCCCATGGTATCCATTGGCGGCCATCTTGTCGGCCATCTTGAATTTTTGGAAGAGTTGATGTTAATTATCTTAAAGTACAATAACTTCCACAGTTTTGAGAATTGAAAGCTGTAAGTGGTACCAAAATGAAGCTATTATAGTATCCTCCATCATCAGATGCAATAATTATGCAAATTGTCTCATTTGCATAAAATGTGACATCATCAATCATAATTCTTGCCTCTTTACAACGGTATCGCATTATACCTTTCCGTCTGAGTGATCAGTCTTAGTCATTCATGAACATAAATGAATTTCGATATTTAGGTACATTAATTTTGAACATATTCGCAATCGAGAGTTTTGGAAAAACATTGTCAGACACATGATTATGTTACTGAAAAGGGGCGTAGCACTTCTTGTGAAAGAACTGATATTAATCATTTCAAAGTACAATAACTTCCACAGTTTTGAGAGTTAAAAGCTGTTAGTGGTACTAAACTGAAGGTATCACAATATCCTACATTATAAGATACAATAATTATGTAAATTACCGTATTTGCATAGAATATGACATAATCAATCATTACTTTTTCAACGGTAATGCATATTGCCTTTTCCTTTGAGTGACCAGTCTTGGTCTCTCATGAATATAAAAGATATTAAATGTATACATTCATTTTGAACCTATTTGCAATTGAAAGTTTGAACATATTTGCATTGAAAGTTTTAGAAAAACATTGTCAGAAATTATTATGATTATGTTTCTGAAAAGGGGCGTGGAACTTGTTTAAAATCTATAGAGGTTATTTAATGGGAGGGATGGAATATGGATTTTATTCCGAGGGAAAATATGATATTGGCCAAGGAAAATATCATATTGACCGAGGGCGATAGCCCGAGTGTCAATATGATATTTTCTGAGGCCAATATCATATTTTCTCAAGGAATAAATCCATATTCCATCACGACCATCAATAACCTATTTATTTCATAATAATGATTATGATAATAATGAGGATATAATATGATATAATCATGATAATAATTTCAATAATTTCAATTTTCCAAACAATTTTTTTACTTCCTGTAGAGATGTGCTAGACGAAAAGCGTAAAACTCAAGAGAAATTACCGGGAATATTTCTGATACGGGATCTGATACGGGATTTTTGCTGATACGGGATCCAATACGGGATCTGATACGGGATTTTGGCTGATACGGGATCTGATACGGGATTTTTCAAATAACACTTTTATTCCCTGTTATTTTCCCAGGGAAAACATGTTATTATGGAATAAATAATGTTATTATATAGTCAATGTATCATCTGTAAAATACCCAGGGGTTCACTGAATACACAATTCTGTAGGGGTCTTAGGCTGAGCCCTCAGATATCATTATGTTCCCATACCAATCTGTCAAATTTCAATGTGTTCCCATACCAACCAAAATAACGCCCAAAAGCCATACCAAATATCCAAATAAAAGACCAATGCTATACCAAATGTCCAAATATAGGACTAATGCCATACCAAATATCCCAAAAATATAAGGCCAAGGGAATGCAAAATGTCTAAAGCCCCTGGAAGAAGTCATAACTTTTACTAAGTGAACCATTCATCCGTGATAAATTACAATGAAGCAATTTTGAATTTTTTTCAATATATCTTGTCAGCTTGAATTTAAAAGGATTAATTTCAAATGATCACTGGTTCCTTGGTATAGCCTTATTTGGTAAAATCTCCGGGGACATCTATTTGATTTAAACAATTAGTGCTATGATTGTTTAGACTTGAAAGATCCAAATCTCCGGGGACATCTATTTGATTAAAACAATTAGCGCTATGATACCCTATAGAGCCATCCTCCAAATGCAGGGCTCCAGACATCAGCCACAATCTTTTCCTTGCTTCTTCCAAAAGGAATAGAGAGGAGAATGTGTGGATGGCATATATTCAAAGGATGCCCCAGAGCTTAATATCAAGCTACATATATAATTGATAACCTTAATTTGTTAAAGGTGGAAGATGATAAAGGTCTTTATGATTATTATAACACTGTCCAATCAAAAGTTATCCCAAGAGGGCAATGTGGGATTAATTGTCTGTTGGTTGCTATTCATGACAAGCCAAATATATTCCTATTATGTCAACAAAAGGTCAATGGATTGTAAGAGAATATCTGAAAAGTTCGATCTTAGGGTGACTTCAGAGTTTAAAATTTTGGAACAATCTTTTCAAAAGAAAAACATACAAATGTTTCTAGTTAAAATTGGGGTTAAAATCTGATGAAGCTATTGAAGACCGTTATGATGCAGAGATGTTCAGAATCATTATAGAAAAGTGGAATTATTTGCCAAATGACCTTAGAGATCAAGAGATTATCCCGAAATAAACTCAGTTCTATCAGACCTTTTGAGAAATCATGGTCCTTTTTGATGGGGGCAAAAAAATGTTGATTCAACTGTCTTTGTAAATGTGGTTTGGTCATCATCCATAAATCATTCCTTCTTAAAACAAATTTTTGTTTCTCAAAATCTCTTCCCAAAAAGACTATGCTATAATTTAAAATGGAAACATCCATGGCCAGGAATGAACTTTTGGAGGGATTGTATCAAAATAACAACCTCCTCTCAGAACATATATAAAGTTAAGATTAACTGATTTGTACTGAACAGTAAAACCCCAAGGGGGGGGCGACTTTGGATGGGTCTGCAATGGAACAGTTTTCTAAAAGAACCAAATATTTTTCTGTTGATTTACATGTTAATGGAACCTCTCTGTTATGGCCTAGTCACATAGCCCAGCCGATGAGGTTACGATGAGCCAGCGATGCAATTTTCACCGAACTCGGCCGAACACCGGCCGGACATCCGTGGCGTTTGTTGCTTAAAACCGCATCGGTGGTAGCTCGGTGAAATTTTAACTTCGGAGTTAAATTTCACCGGGCTCTCACCGAGCTCCCTCATCATGTCATCGCAGCCCCATCGTAACCACATCGGAAAACACGTCGGCCGGTGCACGGCCGATTATCGGCCGGTGTCCCGTGCATCTGAGACAACCAGAGGACGAAGTTTTTTAACGGACAGCGGCCGAGCTCCGACCGAGCTCCGGCCGATGTGGGACAGAGCATCGGCCGGTCACTGTTCAAAGCCCGTTAACAACCCAGCCGGCGATCGCACGGTGTCCTGTTACCTGCTCGGGTACCGGCCGTATTCCTTCCGATGTCCGGCTGACCTCTGGCCGGTAGTTGCTGCCACATCGGCAGAAAAAAACTACCATTTTGAGACAGACTCCGTACGGTCACCGGCCGGTGTTCGGTCGGTCGCCTGAAGATGTCCGGACGGAGTCCGTTCACATCACCGAGCTCTGCTTCCGATGAGGAGAGCTCGGTGGCACCAAAAAAATCCACCAAGCTCTACCGATGCCGGACATCGGCTAGGCTATGTGACTAGGCCATAAGAAACACCACTGTTAATTATCCCAATATTTTTTAAATTAAAGTAATTTGTTAGTTTCAAATCGCCATAACATAAATGCTTTCTTTCAATAAACTTGATAACATCTGATTAGTTGTGCTAATCTAGGGATTGACACAATTGATAATAGAGATAATAGAATGTATCCAGGGGAGGATCTGGGAAGCAACAAGGGGGGGCCCAAATTTTAGGTCAGAGAAAAAAACGTCAGCGCTTGCGCTGAAAAAATTGCCCAAAGTTGGCCCAAATTTGAAATTTTGAGGCCCATTTCAAAATTTGGCCTGAAATTAAAAAGCTAGGCCTATAAAGGCCCAGTAATGACCAAAAAGGCCCACTTTTTGGGGCCTTAAGGTCAATTTTTTTTCTTGTCCCATCCAAGGGGGAGGGGGGGGGGGCGCGGGCCCCCAGGCCCCCCCCCTCCCCAGATCCGCCAGTGGTATCTCTGTCATGTTGAGCCAAATCTCTTTAAATCTATTAAAGATCCAAATTGCATATTATAAATGGTATAAAATGGGGTTGATGAAACTTGAATACCAGTTCTAAGGAACATCTCTTTTTTTGGGGGGGAGGGTTGGCCGAAAATTTACCCTCTCTGTAGGGAACAGTTTTTGCCAGTCTGGAGAGTGTTCCATGTATGCAGGTTTTACTGTATGTATATCTTGTTTTATTCCATATATGTTGTTTTACTCCAAAGTGTATCTGGATGTCTGAATCTGGTCTATTGCAGGTATGGGGAGTACCATATTATAATTTTTTCAAGTTTCCCATTTCTACAGAGTGCAGACAGAATCTCCCTTGATTTTTTTTCTTTTATTGACTTAATTATAAGATTTCCTGAATCTTGCTTTTGACCTATTTATTCATTGAAATCAGTATTTTTATTTTACTATTAATCATTATTACTTTAAAAACCTAATAAATATTGAAGGTGGTTATTAATCCCCCCCCCCTCCTCTGTCTCCTTAACAACATTTTTGACATCATCTCTCTTATTGTAATCAGACATATTGATACTTTCCCTCGCTGCTGCTGACACTAAACAGTTTCCTATTGTTCCTGAAGATCATATAATTTGTCCTTACTTACCATCCAGTGAAAGGTGAGAAGAGTGGAATATAATACGGGTGATGAGATAAAAGGTCTCCAGCTTATAAAAGTCAAATATCAATATCTAGTATAAAGAAGTTGACACCATACATATGGCATGGACCAATAACATATTTATTGATATATACATAAACAGTATTTCTCAATAATGTATTGTTTATCTCTGGTTGTCATAGTTGCCCAGAGGTAATGACTGGAATCAATGCGTGAACTTCTCATTATATTAGCGTCCAAATGTACATCATATCCAAGGGACTTTGGCATCGTTTACAATTCTCAGGATTTTATAAATTTTTGGTAAGTTATTGAAAATATATAAGGTAAGATCAAATACATTGATGTTTTGTATTTTATTTGTGTACTGATTTGGAACTTGGGTACATCCATCAAATAGTTATGAAATAATTTTTGGGTGTTTGAACCAATTGAATTATATAGTACTAGATATCATTTAATTTGAGTGTCTTAATAGTGTTTAAGATTCACTTTTATCTTCCAATTTTTTTAATCAAAATTCCATAAATTCTATCAATAAGATCTAAATTAATTTTCTAGATTAATGATTAAGATTTATAATGTGCGATAAGAACCTGTATATTATGACACTCACTATGTTAGCCAAGCCTCAAAATAAGAAAGTCTGAATGCAGCTCTATTTGAAACACACCTTTAATTAACCTGTTATGTGATAGTAAAATGAGAACATGCTATCCTGGAATTTCATCAATGTTACAGATGGTTACCTATCAGCAGTTCTATCAAGGAATAAAGAGATTGCATTAAGTGTTGAGAACAAATGTAGTATTTATTATTGTGGCAGTTGTACTCTTGCATGCTCGGTGATGAATTATACTATTAAGTTATGTTGAATGACTTAGTCATTCAGCAAAAAATCTATACAATTCTTTTGACAAAAATTGTGGAAATTCCCCATTTAGAAAATAAGCTACGATTATTAACATTATCAATTACCAATATTAATGACAGTATTAGTTGCGTTGGGTTAAAATGAAATGATTTATCATTTTTTATTTGAAGTCTTAATTCATATAATTCCTTCATTAAGTAAGAATAAATAATTTGAAATAATTATTAATGTTTTTGTGTTATTTTTGCAGAGCTGTCAAGTGTCCCGCAAATGGCGGGATTATCCCGCGAATTTGATCAAAATTAGGCTAATTCGCGTGTCCCGCATTGTCCCGCGAAGTCCCGCAAAATGTGGCTTTGACCTCCGCGAATTTCCGAAATTGTTGCAATCCCCTATATTTTGATTATCTTATCTTATATAAGAAGCTAAGTTTTTGCACTTTTGAGGAGTAAAGTTTACCTAATTTTAAGTACCTAGCATGCTGTTGTTTGGTATCAAAATAAAGGGGAAGGGTTCAACTTTCATTTTAATTACGAAAATAGGGATGTAGGTCACAAATAGTTCCAACGTTGGCCTTTTTACTACCCGTGTGGCCTTCATCTCAGAACTGAGCAAATGTTAGCAAACGCGAGTTACAATAAATGTACGCTGATATCTATAAAGGGTTTGTATAAAAAACCGGGTACCGGGTAGTAAATCCTCCATGCTGGGTTCAAACTTGGTACCCGGTACCCGGTCAAAAAAAACGGGTACCCAAAAAACGAAAAATACGAATATATAACATGATAATTAGATTATGAGAAAACGTGTAAGATTTGTTTTGAATTTGCAAAAATGTATGTAACATGATTCAAAATTGAGCTAGAAGCTTCAAATAAAAAGCATATTTGAAGGCACTTTTCTTCCTCTATCGTTATGGCCATATTTTCATTGGTTATGGGGGGGGGGGTACGATCGCACCATCGCACCCTCTCCTGGCTACGCCTATGACATTGTAAGACATAACAATTTACAATTCAGTGGACATTTTGTCATAAATTGGGATAACTTAAATTATGATTAATAATCAAAATCTTATACGTTGCATCATGCAAATTAACACACGTCACCTCTCTGCTAAAGCAACGATAGCTATTTAAAGATTTAAATCATAATCAAAACAATTCACGTACCAACATACGAACTATTGAAAATAGAGTAAGATTGATTTGTCTTGTTTTTCAAATCGCCAGGTGGGGGTGCGATCGCACCCCCCCCCCCCTTCATTACCAATGGAAATATGACCAAGATGAAAAGAGCCTTAAAATGCTTTTTATTTGAAGCTTCTAGCTCAATTTTGAAGGAAGTTACATACATTTTTGTAAATTCAAAACAAATCTTACACGTTTTCTAATGATCTAATTATGTTGTGTATTCGTATATTTCGTTCAAGTTTTTTGTGTTTTTTTCGACCGGGTACCAAGTTTGAACCCAGCATGGAGGATTTACTACCCGGTACCCGGTTTTTTATACAAACCCTATCTAGAAAATTAACGTCATTCCCTATAATTTGATGTAGATTAATCGAACCCCTATATCATGGGCTTTCAATTGAAAGCCCATGCCTACAGTATATGAATAGGTACATTTTAATATATAACATTATGGGGGTAAGCGTTTCATAGTTGGTCACGACGCCAGAAGTGCAAAGTATTGTTCCGAATTTTTGAATTTCGTGTTAGATTACGGTAATCACACCTGAAGCATGGTTTTTGTTTTTGATAAATTACAATAAAGTTTAATAATATTCCTATGCGTATTTTGTGAAATTGTGTTGACGTTTATTTAAGTTACAATGTAACAGTGCATTATATTTGATTAATCAGTATCTGAAAGTTTGATTTACGTACTTCTACATGCTTTTACATTAGTCCCAATCACGCAAATCCCTTGAATGTCCCGGGACATCCTGCAAATTTAGGTGGATGTCCCGCGAAATCCCGCAAATTTAGGGCACTTTGTCTAAAAAATCTGTCCCTCTATGAAGTTTTTGGTGGTACACCTGTTAACTGTCCCGCAATTAGGGTGTTTGTCCCTCGAATGGTCCCGCGAAATCCCGCGAATTTGATAAAAAAAATCTCCTATTAGCGCAATCACGCAAATCCCTTAAATGTCCCGCAAAATCCCGCGAATTTAGTAGATGTCCCGCAAAATCCCGCGAATTTTGGGCACTGGGTCTAAAAAATCTGACCCGCGAGAAAATCTTTAGGGGTTGACAGTACTGTTTTTGTTTTTTATAAAATGCAGTTATAAATGAAATAGGGGCCAGGTTCGGTTTTTGAATCTCTCAGATTGGTTTTTGGTTTGGTTATTCGGTTCTTATTGCACTACACTATTCAGCTATTATGATCATAAGTTGAAAAGAATGTAAAACATAACTACAGTAAAACCTTTATATAGTGAACACCTACAGAGACACAAAAAAGTGTTCACTATAGAGAGGGATCTTATAAAGGAGTCAATGTAAAATGTGTCTTTAAGTGGTGTTCACTAAACACAGGTGTTCACTTGAAAGAGGTATATACTTAGACAGGTTTTACTGTATCCTGTATGATTGCCATGTTTTTAATCACATACAGTATATAGGGAGACCATGGCATAGTCATACATTTCGTGGCGAAAAAAAGGATTAATTCTTCCATTAACATAACGAATAAGTCTGTATCTATGTAATGTGAAAGATTCAACCAAACATTGATTTATTTCAAATCTATGGTTGTTTCGATATTTACTTGGATCTAAAAATTGTTTTTACATTGTTCTATAGATTGAACTAACAATTTGCTCCCACAAAAGACATGTAACATTTGTTTACATAGAAATCTATTGTCATATTGTCCAATACTGCTAATTGAGTGCAATACATGTCCTAAACGCGTGGTAGATTTTCTGTAAAGCATTACTGTTGAACTGAATATTTTCAAAAGACTAATGCCTCTGACACATTTGATCTATGACATCATGACAGCAGCCGTGGATTCCCAAAATCGAAAAATATGCAGAATAAAATAAAGGGATAAGCAGTACGATGTATGTTTTCTATATCGATTTTGTAAAGCTACAGCTGCCGCTCAGCCGCCATAGAGCAAATGTGACTGAGGCTCAGGCGTGAAGGTCTTTATATTTCTTTTTTAACTCACATAGTGAGTTCTTATGTTTGGATCGGCATGTGTTGCCTTAGTCTGTCCATTATTATAGATTGATTATCATTATTATGGTATTGATTTCAGCAATCGATGTGACTTTGTCTAGGTTTCTATGAGTGATAAGTACAAGATGCAAACAAAATTAATTAAAAATCAACAGCTTATTAATAAACGTAATGACCTAACAATGTAAACAATTAACCAGAAGTATTTATTTACCAGCTATTTATAACTTATCTGTGCTATTATATGATTGTCAAATCAATTTAATCGATGTCAGTAATGCCGAAAATAAATAAGTTAATTGCATTGTCTTAGTTCTCTATTCTCTTAAGTGTGAATGGGAGTTGAAATATGAATATCATTGAGCAAATAACATTCACAAACAAAGGAGGTATAGTTTCATTTGCCTAGTAACAGTTCCTTTACACACCCCTTCCGGCCCTTATAATCCAAGGCCGATTATCTTAGGTTTGGCTTCTCCTTGGTTTTATTTGAACATGTTTGCTGATTTTTTTTCTTATGGAACACGTTAGTACAAGCTTTCCATTTTCCAATGGTACCAACATTTTGCAAATAAGTGTAAAGGGTGTGTTTAGTAAGTGTATGCTAAATAAGTGTAAGGATGAATGTTTAGTAAGTGTAAGACCGTATGTTATATAAAACAGTCATGGGAGCCTCGGTTGCTAAGCATTTGTGGGAACCTGGTGATTTGTTTATTGTCATTAGCAACATGCATGACTTAGTTATAAAGAAACCAAATTTTATTTCCCTGACAACCAAATTGAAGTGAGGTTTCTCAACAACAAATGTATTTTTTGTTATAAGTTGCATAATAGGTTAATCCAAATGTAATCCAAATAAAGATTATTTAATCCATATGGAAGTAAAGCAATAAACAGTCACTATTGATCAATTTCTGTAATAATTTTGATATTAAAAGATTCTCAAGCATACCTGAAAAAACAATCAATACTGAGTCATCATAATTTATCTCAAATATTAATAATATCTAATATAAAGAGATCCATGTTATCCAATGGGTGACTTATTAAAGTGTTGTTTGAATGATGGAGATTGCTTAATTCCCTCTTGATTTATAGAAGGTATTTTTTTAAAAAAAGAATTAAAAGATAAAAAAAAAAAATTCTGACACAGAAACATTAATTTTTTTTAAATCTGAACTTGTTTTGCATGAAGGCAAATTACATTTTTAATTAAAGATTTTGTTGGTTTATAATTGCCATTTGCAGTTTTCACATTCGATAGTTAATGATTAAAATACTATCTGCAAGAAATGCTATGAACAAAATACATTGCAATACTGTGACTATAAGTTCACCCCAACCTGTTCCTATTTTTTGCTGCATCTTTAACATTTTACTTGTAGGCTGAAGCGGTAGTGGAATATTTGTAGGATTCATCCCAAACTTTACCAAAATGGTGAGTAAGAACCATAGTTACTTTGATTTATTGTCTAATGTATAATGTTTTTATTGAAATAAACACAATGTGGTGCTTAGCGGATATTGTACATTGTTCTCTGTATAAATGTATTTTGATATGAAAGTTCCCTAGGGATCCCTAATCTTTGATGTTCATATTCTTCAAACCAGTGTTATTTTAACCTAATAGAATACAATGTGTATAGTACTCCGAATAAGATAAAATGTTTAGCATATTGTTCTTTTTCAGTATGGCCAGATCCATGTAATTGTGAGGTCTCTTATCCTGGAGAAATTTGGAGAAGAAACATGGAGAAAAATATTGTAAGTTATTTTCAAGTATTATTCGATATGAAAATATAGAAATTGAAAAATATAATTTCATTTCTTGAAAGTTTTTTTGATGCTGTTGGCTATGGAATCGTCCAATCGTCTGTCTGTATGTCTATCAACAATTTTCGGAAAATGAAAACTGTCTGAACTAATGTTCATATCCATTTTATATGGGTCTTGACTACTTCCTTTCCTCATTTTGAGAAATTGTCAAAATATCACATTTTTATTTCACAAATCACAAGACTTTATCCTTTGCAGTTTCAAAATCAGATAATATATGTTGTAGTTTATGTTGAGAAGTGTCATTATCAGTTTTAACTCCCCAGGTTTATACAGTTGTCTCTTGGCATTCAATAATTCTCAAAAATCTGAACTTAATCATTTTAACCAGAATTGTGTGTGCACATATTGAATTCATTATGGGCTAATTCTGTTAATCATATTAAATTATTCTTTTGAATTACGGTAAATCTGATACTTATCCATGACATATATATTTGTAATTTGACCTACTTTTGCAATTTGACCTACTTATATTTTTGAAAATGGGTGCAAAGAGCCCACAAAATAGAGGGAATTTTTGGTGAACATAAAATTACTTTTTATGTTTTATTCAAACCATGGATAACACACTACAATGCTAACTTTCACTTTAAAAATAAGAAACCACTTTATGAATTATTTATATATAATATTAGGCATACAGTATATAGATTAATTCATTTTAGTTTCTCATCAATAAATATCTAGAATAATTGGAAAAACATATGATTAAGTTACTTTAAATTACTCTTGCTTTGCGTTGTTATAATTCGATGTTTTTCATGTTAAAGAGATCAGTCAGGTTTTGACGACCCTGATTTCATGGTGTTCCATTACTACACTGATGAAAGAACACTGATTCTTATAGGGACTGTCTCAGAGATTCTGGGTAAGTATTTCCAGTGTGTATATCCAGTAAATGCATTATTTGACTGTGTCCCAAGTTAGGCATATACATTGGCAGAACAAGGGTCTCAAAACAGGCCATTTAGATGAGGCTGAGTTAAGGATAATATGATACAATCTTCATTTTTAAGGTTTCATTTGAAAAAAATGTCTGCTCTAACATTTTTCTTTAAAATTTTGGTGAGCCAAACATGGCATTACCCCACCTCTAAAGTGAATTTTGAAATCTACAGTGAGTTTTTCACAATGGTCCTTCTTGTTCAATCAATAGTAACCATATACAGCAAAACCTGTCTTAATGAACACCAATTTATGTGACTCCATAGGTGTTCACTGTATACAGGTTTTACTGTACGTGTATACAATAAATTGCATTCGAGCCATATAATATCACAATATGTTTGGTTATATAATTATTAGTCTCACCAGCAGCTGCTATCTGCCATAGTAATTTAAAATTCTGGAATGACCTTACAAAGTCATTACAAATTGTACATGCTTACAAATTCATTACAAATTGTTCATAATACTTTATACTACTCTAATACACTCCACTAGTGCTGATTACAAATTCCCACTCGTTACTGTCTCAGATGTACCTTTTTTGACTCACATGGTGAGTGTATGGAATCGCATACACTTCCAACTGTCCATTCACCCAATCCTTCAGTTCTATCTATCTGCAAATTTGACAAAAACCATTTTGTCTTTTGTCTAAACTAATGCTCATATTCCTTTTACGTATAATAATCGGGAATCCTTGTGATTCACACTATTTGTCCCACCTCCTATACTTGTTTCAAAATTTGCTCAAAATTGTATGTATTACGCGTCCATAGACTATTAATGATTATGGTATTAGGAAATAAAAATTCATCTTTTTTTGCAGACCTCCCTGTTCCAGCTGTCTTAGAAGTATTTGGGGGTTACTTCTACACATACTGTAAAGAGAATGGCTATGATAAGATGTTGGCCACCCTCGGTGGGAATATTGTTAGTTTCATTCAGAATCTTGACTCCCTACATGCTCTTTTGGCCATGACTTATAAAGAGATCGAAGCGCCATCTTTCAGGTATGCCTTTCTGTAACCTTAACATGTCCATTATGGGCAATGCCCATAAACATGATTAATAACAATTACATGATTGATTATTGGGTTTAGGTCTTAAACCTTGATTACATTTTCTTGTCGAATATCAATTCTGAAAAGGACTGTCATTTTGACTAAATACATTGATTAAACAAGAGAATGAGAAATCTTAATCTTAATAATCTTATCTTCTATAGAATTCAAATAAAGTCTTTATTTTGCCCAAAAACATTGAAAATACGCAAAGTGGGCCTTTAAGCAAGAGAATGAGAAATCTTAAATGTAGCTTTAGTTATTATGGTAATTTAACATCTGCAAACAATATATTGTTTTGTACTATATGTTTAATTGCCATTTTTTACAACACATTATAGGTGTATACCCAAGTCCGATGGTACAGTAGAGCTCCATTACTACACAAACAGGAAAGGTTTACATCCCATTGTGATAGGTATGTGTAGCCATACTAAGGCTAAGGTGGGAAAACCACCTATCTTACCAAGACTCTGTCTTCATGTTAAGAACCTCTATTTTTGATTTTTGACTGACATCAGTCCACCCTCTATGGCTCAGTGGCAGAGTCAAGGTTACCCGGGTTCCATTCCCGGTTCAGACAAGTTTGTTTGTGCGTTATGTAATTCTGGGTGTTTGACTGAGTGGTTCACGACTCTGTGGTGTGTACCTGTATTTCTGTGTACCTGTGCACACAAAAGAACACAGGGCCCCTCCAAGGAGGGGTTTCTGGCTCTGTCTTCGAGTGTAAAATATGTTAAGTACGGAATATACCAAAGAGGTATTGCTCGCCAAATATGGCTGTAACCAAGATATAATAATATTCAGTCATGCCTTATTACCATGCTGATTGGTTGAAAAACATTTATTGATCATGTCATTTCAATTGTCCTTAATTAGAAAGCAATTATAAGCCTGCATAATAAAATATTCATCAAAGCAAACTTTTTATCAGTGATATCAAACCGTCATTCACAGCTCACGAATGATGATAATACCTCTATGAAATCCAACACATTTTAACACTTCTGATTTAAATATTTTCATTAACAGTATATCATTCATTTTAGTTACCATAAAACATCACATTGATGTGTAATTTAGTAAAACCTGTATATAGTGAACACCTATGGAGCCAAAAAAAGTGTTCACTGTAGGTAGGTGTTTACTACAGAGAGTGGATTTTTTTACAAGAGTCAAAGTGGTGTTCACTAAAGACAGGTGTTCACTAGAGAGAGGTGTTCACCAAGACAGGTTTTACTGTACATTTGTCTCACTATTTGGGAATCAGACATTGTTGTTTATGATATGAGGGCAAGACTATTTTAGATCACAGCTTTTTCCAAAGCATCCATCATATTCTAAAGGATTGAAATCTTTACAGGTACACTGAAAGAGCTTGGCAAGGATTTGTTCAACCTTGACCTATCTATTGAAGTAGCAAAGCACGAAGAAATCATTGTGGATGAGAACACCGTACAACAGCACGTGACTTTTATACTCATGGGGGCCAACGACACCAAAACTATAGCAAATGTAGAAAACATCAAATTCAAACCATATTTCCCTAAAGACTTTGTCACACCTGCCAAAAGTCTATGTTCTGCATTACCCTATCATATTGTCTTTGATAAAAATCTTGTCATCAAACAAACTGGATTATTCTTACAAAATCTGTGTCCGGAGCTGACAAAAGCTGGCACAAAGTTAACTGACGTGTTTGAATTACTACACCCTGTGATGAGTCTCACCCATAGCAACTTGATGTACTTCATTAATGCCTCCTATGTCATTGGAGTTAAGAATGAGTTCGTCATTGATGAAAAAAGATCTGATATAGCAAGACATACTCTTGAAGGTAATGAATGATTTTTTGTTTTAATTATGTTTTTTTGGTTGATCATAACCTTAAAGTAGTTTTAACGAGCCAATGGCGCTCGTCCATGGAGCTGTAGTGTAACAAGCCAGATACTAGACATGAAAGGGAGTGTGCTTAATTTAATGCCCACTATTGAAGATGTGTTATCCTTATGAGTGATTTATGATCCTGATTTTTAATATTGTGATTTGTAACACCTTTTTGGTAGTTTCCAATTTTGCTTATATGATAATATATTTTCTTGAAACAGTTACAAATGAATACAAAATGCATGTGCAATTTTGGTTGTAGTGTCACTACCACAACTTTTTTGTGGATGCTGTTCAGCATTCAGTGTTTGGCAATTGGTGTTTGAAGTGCAGGAACTGTAACAAATGGCAGGTGGTGACATTTTGCATGTTAATGCCTAGTCTTAATCACTGTTATGTACACATGTTTATGTTATTCAAAAACAAAATGAGATACAATATTTGTGATAATATTCTTATGTATATATAATATACCGTAGGTCAGATGGTTTGGCTGGAAGAGATTGACCATCTCATATTTCTCTGTTCTCCGCGTCTTGACTCCCTTGAAGAGATGATGTCAATGAATGTCTTCTTGGCCGACATTCCAATGTTTGACGTCACCAGGAAACTTGTGTTGCTCAGTCAACAGCGTAATGCTGAACTTGAAATCAGGTAAGAAATGAAAGTTAGAAATTTGTGTGTCACGGGAATGGCACAGTTGACATTTGTGAATTGGTCTTTCGGGACAATTAACAAGATCTTGAAATCATGAGGAATGTTCTCTATATAGTGGCTAAAATGTAGAGGAATGGGACATTGTGTGAAACTATGATACTCTTTAACCTCTTGACTACCTGGAGTGACGAGATTTCTCGTCACCTCAGAAATGACATTGAAACCCAGAGTGACGAGAAAATCCGTCACAAAATTTTTCACTAAAATTGCTCTTATTTGAACAATTTTCATCCAATTTACACAAAAATTGTTTTAAAATGTGTAGAAATGATCTCTGCCGTCTAATGTTACTAAGTTGAGCATCTGAAGTTGTATAGGTATGTAGTATAATGTCAAAAGGTGACAAAAATGAAAAAATCTCTGGTTTCAACCGATTTTAGAGCCTGGGATTCAAGAGGTTAATAAAAGTTGTTTCAAAATGTATTAGATTATGTGGAGATTGCTGATGACAATTATATATCTTGCAACAATGCTTTGCAACAATTGATGTATGTATCCAGTGGAACTAGCAGGGCATTCTATAATGAGATATTAAAGCTGCACATCGCTCAAGAACGCAATCTTGGGTTGTACAAGGGCCAACTGTAAGATTTTTGGCTTTAATGAAAGTATATACAATGGTGAACAAATGGGGCAAATCTTGTATACAAATACTCACGATAAATGTCTCATTATGAGGATTGTTCTTTGAATTGCTTCGATTGTCGCCGACAATATTACTTTTGGAAGGTTTGTAAATTTAGAACGTGACATCACTACTGAATTAGAACGTTCAATTAGTAGCGTAAATTACTTCCCAGCTTTCATAGTTTGGTGTTGGTCTTGTGGTAGAATGCTCGACGTGGGCGCAGAAGGCAGTAGTTCGAATCCCACCTTGGAATTTTATTTTTGTTTTTTAACTAATGTTTGTGCTTTTATATTACGCAGAAAAACAGTTTTTAATCATGTCAAACACTACACTAGAGCTTTAGTAATCTTGGCTGTATGAAAATATAAAAATAATGTATGTCGAAATATTGCTTTTTAGAGCAATGTGCAGGTTTAATTATATTAATATTTACAGGCCTATTGTTTTTCACTTGCGTGGGAACTACCACTGGAATTATCACTATGATATATTGATAATTCAAGTGGTAGTTCTCATATAGACTGTGCCAATCCAATTTATTCATATTCTGATATTATCCCTCTTTGATAGTCATTCAGTTCCATTTAATACCCATGTGAATATTTTATTACTATAACTCTGATAGTCCCCTTTGCATTCATTCAACTTCACTTCTTAGATAGCATACTCTTGAACAGTGATGGCATACTCTTGGGATTGGTATTCGATCAAACATATAGTCATTGAATTTTCGTTTGAAGAGTATACAGAATTCCCCTTCGTTATCTAAGGGCTGAAGGGAATAAGTTTGTCCTTCAACATTACTTCTGCAGGAATTAAAATTAACAGCTTCGGTCAATAGGACAAGACACAAGAACTCAAAGAATAGAATCTCCAACTGTACATTGTTGAAAATAATTGACTGTTACCGGTGTCACAATTGCACAATTGCATTTTTAAAATTTTATTCTAAAAGTGCTCACATTGTATGAGTGTATTGTATATGCGTGTCCTTTAACTGTCACCTTACATTTTGAATGAACACACTTTGAAGTTGTCCATTTGAATGTTTCCAGTAAAAAGCTTGATGAGACAACTGCTGCATTGAAAACCACCATGAAAGAGCTGGATGAAGCAAAGGCCAAAGTGGACAGTTTGCTGAATGAGATGTTGCCACCTAAAGTCTCAAAACAATTGCAGGAAGGAAAGAAAGTGGATGCAGGTACTTGATAAGGGGATCATATCAAATGTTTTGCACTGAATTCTACAAGTAGTATAATCCATTTGTGAACTGCCAAACTGCATAGCCATTCTTGTACATTTTTATGCCACCACCACAAGCGGTAACATATTGTTATATTCTCCAATATTTTTGTGTATGGTGTTTGGTAGTCGGCATTTGATTGTCAGCGGTCAGTGTCTGTAACAAATGGCAGGTGGTGATGTTTTGTGTGTTAATGCCTTGTAGAGTACTTGTGATTAATACAGGGCTATCCTGTATTCAACATGATTTGTCTAAATCCCCCAGGATAAGTTGCCATATAAGATCATCACTGTTAAATCTTGTTGAATTTTTGGTCCACCCTGTACAATTTGTTGATAGAAAAAATCCCCAAAAATCAACTTACATGTGTATTTATTTCTTTGCAGAAAAGTTTGAAGGTGTAACTATATTCTTCAGTGATGTTGTCAAGTTCACCAATATATGTGCTGCATGCACTCCTATAGATGTGGTCAATATGCTGAATGGTCTCTATGGTTACTTTGATAACCTCACCATAAAGCACGGGGTTTACAAGGTATGTCATTTTATAAGATGTCTCAAAAGTATGTTTGATATATTGCAAGTGAAACAAGAAATATCAAATATCAAACATAAAATTGAAAAGTGAATAAAGACACTAAATTGCCACAATTATAAACTTATTCATACATCTATATTGATCTTCTTGGTAATATTTGGTGACCAGTGATGATGCTGTACTTTTAATTCAAGTTGAAAACATATTGTTATGTGCTATTAAACATTGCAGGTGGAGACTATTGGTGATGCTTACATGGTGGTATGTGGTCTCCCTGAAGTGGATGCAGACCATTGTCAGAAAGTAGCGTGCTTCTCTCTTGATATGGTCGTCACGGCTGGCTTAGTCAAGTCCCCTGCTACTGGAATCCCTCTTATGGTAGGTATACAACCGAGAGATATGTAAAAGATATTATGCTCCCCAGGAATTAAGGTCCCCTTGCAACAATGAATTTGGTATACTTAAGGAGAGATATGTGAAAGATATAATGCTCCCTAGGAATTAAGGTCCCCTTGCAACAGTGAATTTGGTATACTTAAGCGAGAGATATGTAAAAGATATTATGCTCCCTAGGAATTAAGGTCCCCTTGCAACAATGAATTTGGTATACTTAAGGAGAGATATGTAAAAGATATTATGCTCCCCAGAAATTAAGGTCCCCTTGCAACAGTGAATTTGGTATACTTAAGGAGAGATATGTAAAAGATATTATGCTCCCCAGAAATTAAAGTCCCCTTGCAACAGTGAATTTGGTATACTTAAGGAGAGATATGTAAAAGATATTATGCTCCCCAGAAATTAAGGTCCCCTTGCAACAATGAATTTGGTATACTTAAGGAGAGATATGAAAAAGATATTATGCTCCCCAGGAATTAAGGTCCCCTTGCAACAATGAATTTGGTATACTTAAGGAGAGATATGTAAAAGATATTATGCTCCCTAGGAATTAAGGTCCCTCTGCAACAGAATTTGATATACTTTAAGGAGAGATATGTGAAAGAAATTATGCTCCCCAGGAATAAAGTCCCCCTGGGACAATGAATTGTAGTGGCTCTGATTTAGTCTTAAGAACTTGAGTAACTAGTTCACTGAGGAGAGGGGACCATATCTTGCTCCTTCATCCTTATGTTTATTATATCTTATGTGTAGATAAATAATGTCTAATTTTTTCTAGTATGAAATTTCAATAAATTATTTTTGTAACTCAATATGGGCTTACAAAATTGTGAATTTCAGATCAGGGCTGGTTTACATAGTGGGCCAGTAGTGTCTGGGGTGGTTGGTGAGAAAATGCCAAGATATTGTCTTTTTGGGGACACAGTGAATACAGCATCTCGTATGGAGAGCAATGGACAGCCTGGTAGAGTACACTGCAGTGGAGATACAGCCAAGTAAGGACAAAGTTTAAGGCTAATGCCAATATATTGATTCATCCTATGACCCTTCAGGTAGACCACACAACCATTAAAAATTACTCATTATCGGATAAATTATACTGATATGATGTATACTTTTGGATATGGGGTATATCCCACATGAAATATGATATCTTACCTCAGGCTCTCCAGGCCCTTGGAAGAATATATCAATTTCCCTCATGATATCCTCTGTACCCAAAACCTCCAATGAACAATTGTGTTCTCTATTTCAGAATTCTCTCGACTTTGACAGGATTTAAGACAAAGACTCGTGGAGTGGTAGATATAAAAGGCAAGGGAAAGATGGAGACACATTTCCTCTACAAAGACCCTACCAAACAGATTGAACATGACGATGAAAACGAGCCACTCATAATCCTAAATGGTGCACATCTGGAGCATCCTGAATACATCGGGCCTGATGGACCACCTAAAGGTGCAGTTGACCCAAAGACTGCAATTTATGTCCCGAAAGTATCTTCAACGACACCTCCTACAAATGGTGAATTGAAGACTGATAAACCAGCTCCTGAGAGAAAGCCAAGTGGAGTTTGCAATGTTTCATAGTGGTCCCTGCTTAAACTGATTAATATACAGACTGGACCAATAATACGCCCATAATTTTCTTTTGCTAGTATTACATTTTTGATAATTCATTGATTTAAAGTCTTTTCACTCTTGATGCAGCAATCACTTTAGCAATTTTCCTAAAATGGCATGCATAAATCTTAATGGAGGTAATTTTTCTCACCCTGTAGAATTGAACTGTACAAATGATAGATATACATTGTATTTGTATAGATACGCTAATGTACAAATGACAGATATACAAATGTACAGATAAACTGATGTACAGGTAGATATATATTCTGATGTACATGTGTAGAGATGTACAGATATTTTATTATAGATATTGTTATTATATATTTATATTATTTGTTTTATATATTGTTACATATTTGTATATAGTAAATACAACTACATGTATATGAGTATTGACTCTTGATTCAATTTTGATTATTCAAGCCTATGTTTGCAATAAGAGCTTAGGGGTTTTCTTCAAAGATCCATGAAATAATTAAAGATAATTAAAGAATGAATTAGAGTACTTTTAGAGAACATATTTTGGAGACTTTTAGAGCCATTAAATTCCTACATTTAGGCGCATGTAACCTTATCTGTAATATCAAAACCCAAAATTGGGACTAAAAGCAATGACATTTTAAAGACCTGCTAACTGAAAACATAACAATTAATAAACCAATTTTTCGGCTTCTTATATCTTATAGTGCCGATATACTGTGTTTTAGGTCTTCATGTAGATACCCCATCCCACTACCTCATAGCATACGGTCATTTCTCATTTCGTATGTGAAGTTCATTGTATTGTATTTAATTGTATGAACGTGTTATAAGCCAAACTGAGATTAAATATCTGTTATCCTAATCCTTGATAACCCTAAAATAATTTTTAATTTATTAAGGTAGTTGTACATCCAAAGGCCTAAAGTTTTAAAATTTACTTTAAAATAAAGTACATATATTTTTATATTGAAATAACCATGACATAACAGATAATTATGCTTCATAATCAGAAAAAGTTTGTGTCATCCACTTCATTTTTTACTTAAAGCTAGAAAACATTTTGATCTCCTGTGTTAGGGAATAGCAGAGTAGGGGATTAAGAGAAAGTATTATCTCCAAAACTGAAAAATGATAGGTCACTGACTTAATTTTTTTGTTATAACTCTTTGAAGAAATACAATTTTTGTATGTTTTTGTGACGTCTAATATGTTGTTCATTATGTAGCAAAGTGTAACAAAAATACATTAAGAATAGCATTTTTCAAATTGTGATATCACAAAGTTAATATGCCCTAAAACTAAACACACCTAAAATCATTGTTCCTTTGCTGCAGCATGGAGCCAACTATTGCCAGTATACAACTACCTTAAATCATTGTTCCTTTGCTATAGCATGGAGCCAACTATTGCCAGTATACAACTACCTTAATCATTGTTCCTTTGCTATAGCATGGAGCCAACTATTGCCAAATTTACAACTACCTTAAATCATCGTTCCTTTGCTATAGCATGGGGCCACTTATTGCCAGTATACAACTACCTTAAATCATTGTTCCTTTGCTATAGCATGGAGCCAACTATTGCCAGTATACAACTACCTTAAATCATTGTTCCTTTGCTATAGCATGTAGCCAACTATTGCCAGTATACAACTACCTTGAATCATTGTTCCTTTGCTATAGCATGGAGCCAACTATTGCCAGTATACAACTACCTTAAATCATTGTTCATTTGCTATAGCATGGAGCCAACTATTGCCAGTATACAACTACCTTAAATCATTGTTCCTTTGCTATAGCATGGAGCCAGCTATTGCCAGTATACAACTACCTTAATCATTGTTCCTTTGCTATAGCATGGAGCCAACTATTGCCAGTATACAACTACCTTAAATCATTGTTTTTTGCTATAGCATGGAGCCAACTTGCCTGTATACAACTACCTTAATCATTGTTCCTTTGCTATAGCATGGAGCCAACTATTGCCAAATTTACAACTACCTTAAATCATTGTTCCTTTGCTATAGCATGGAGCCAACTATTGCCAGTATTAACTATGCAAATCTTTGTTCAGTATACAACTACATTAATGATATGTTATTTTAGAGACAGACATAAACTTTCTTTTCTGTAATTATTGAAGCTTGGAAATATTGTTCATGTGGAAAATTACAATGTAATAAATTACCTTTTAAAATTAATAAATTACCTTTTAACATTAATAAATTATCTTTAAATTGAAAAGTGTGTACGATTTTCTTAGAAACTAAAACAACATGTCAAGTCACAATCTCATAATGAACTGTAAGCTAAGTTGTGTCAAACTTGGATGTAAAAAACTTTCTGAGATGAGACTCCCCGTTTCTCTACACCATTTAAGCATGTCAAATGTTTTCCTTGCAATTTTAATTTCATGTTAAAAAGAATTGAGATATCTGATCAAATATGGACGTTATTGAGGATGCAGAAATGTCTTAAATTCATAATAAAATGGAGAACGTACAGATTTTCAAATCATTGCCAGATAATACTAGACATAATTTACCAGCTTAATTAAAGGCATGCCAATTATGGATGGAATGTTAGGAGAAAAAAGATTTTAAAATTGTAACAATATTTAAGAAAGTTACTCTAAAAAATTAAAGAAATTAAAGGGGATGGTGCATCATGGATTACGCTGACGATCTCTTGATTTACCATTCAGATTCGATGGTATTGTATAAAGAAAGGAGATTTGCGATAATAATGAGAGAGTGGGGCTAAATGTCCATAACATCCAATTTGCCCAGGCTACAATTGTACAATAACGTCATTTCAAAGGGCAATATTTCACTATTTTGCCCGCAGAAATGACGTTATTACTATTATTACCACCGTTAATCATTTAATGCCCAGGGCTGAAATAGCAAATTTGAAATAGAAAATCTTACGCACTGAACGATATCACTTTTCCCGGGAATCATAGCCGGGCGGATAATGTCATTATTGCCCGACTAAAGTCATTAACGCCCGACACAATATTGCTCACGTCAATATAGCAATTTAAATGCCTTCTCAACTAGTACTAAAACCCCTAGAACAGGCCCTGCAAGGTGGTAATAATAACAAATAAACACATGGGAGTATCCCAGTAAAAACAGATTGTTAGGATGCAAGCAATTTTGCCAATTCACGCACAGACAACTTTTTACCTCAGAATATCTGTGTTAAATTCAAATCCGGTGGTGTCTTGAAAAAATGAATGCTTGTGGTATGATAAACGGGGTGCAATAGTCTGTCCCCTGTACTTTTAAACATTCTCTTGATTTATATTCATATGATTAGGTTAGTAAACAAGAGTCCATATTATTTTGTGCTTTCTATAGCTGCCCTTTGTACAAAATAAATCGCACTAAAATTGATATCAAATATAGATGACACATAAATGTGTCGATTAGAAATCACATTTTCAGCTCCATGAATCCCCGAGTGGGGTCTATTTTGCACGGGGTTGCCGCTGAGGTTCAAAACATCCACCCACATCTAGGGTTTTTATCCTTTAAAATGGACTTACATCTAGTTTTCTTTTATTCAATCTTGGACTCACATCTATAGGGGGGGGGGGGGTGTGTATAGAGGGTCTTGGAAATGCATATACAATATTTTTCAGCTCTCTTATACCATATACAATATTTTTTCACCCCTTTTATACCATATACAATATTTTTCACAGCTCTTATACCACATACGATATTTTAGGTGAAATACAATATACGATAATTTTGAAACTGCTTTTGATTAAAGTTTGGATATTTATAAGGAAACAATATTAGGAGAGAATCCATGTACTAAAGTAAATGTATTATTATAAGGGAAATAGACTCCACATACATACCACAATGATTTCATTTATTACATTATGAATAAGACACCATTCGGGTACATCCGCATGTTCAGAAAAGCTGTGACCACATTTTATTTTCAGGTAAACAAGTTGATTTAAAACACATTTATGATATAAGATTCATGACTTATCTTTAGTGATTTCACAACCTACTTTGACCAAAAAACTAACTTTAACATTTCTGCAATTTGCTAAAGCCATTAGCCCATTACGTGTAAAAGTACCATAAAGATATTCAAAATTAGCACAAAACCTGCATTATTGGAATGGGTGGAACTCAGTGTTCCTCTTTCTTATGACCTACTTTCCCATGACATATTTTAATGTCAATGGAATCCTTCATAGTGAGCCAGGGAAAAAATCCTTGAAACATAATTGATGCAAAATTGAGAATGTGGAATAAAAGATTCATCATGTGTTCTATGAAAATAAAGTTTGCTGAGGAAAATATGTATCAGATAGGTAATGAAGATTCACAATGCACAATAATTTTGTAAAGCAGTTACCTGAAAATATTAAGTATTGAAAACAGTTTCAGAAATAAAGGACTTCACAAACTTCCATGTAGATAATTCATTTTTGATTGGACTCGAATCTGGAAATTAGAGTTTGAAATAAAGGCAAGACGAGACTTGATTGTTTAAACATTTGAAACAAGAGACACTTCGGGGTTTCAGATAAGGCAGCCTTAAAGACAGTATAAGTTAAACAAAGGTGTGTCAAAATAAAGCAAATTTCCATAAAGTTCAAACCACATGTTTCACGAATGATTTCAAGTCAAAGATGTATTGATGAGGATGAAAACTACTCTATGCAACTAGAAATAACTTTCTTTTAAAGGACCACAGACGGTATCGCAACAGATTTCAGTCATATATTGGATTTTGGCTATTTTCTGAGGATTTGAACAGGTGCATATGTTAGGCCAATGCATTAACTCCAGATCAAGCCACATTTAAAGTAGACATAATGCGAAAGCACCTCGAGAAATTTCAGATATGTAGCACAAGTGGGTCAAAGTAAAATATATTCTTACTTTGTAGACGTTCTCATTAACCGCAGATCTGAGATTGAGTGGGCATCCCATTCCCCTGATATGAACCTACCAGATTTTTACATCTGGGTATTTAAAAGACCATGTGTATGAGACAGAAATCCCCAACCCATAGCTGACTTAAAGGGTTCCGATAAGCATCCCGTATAAAAACAATATGGCGGCTCCAGGCGAATCAACTGGATCAGTCCATTTTTAAGAAATAAGGGGAGTTCTGTAAAATCCAGTTTATTGAAATTGTCTTTGATATAAAGTAATCCGTTTATAATGATTTTGAAAACGTTATCCAAAGAGTGATTGCGTTCAAAGAATACATGTACAACAGCCAATATAAATCCTTGTATTAGAACTGCTTTGTTTCATTTGTAGGATATTTCATATGCCAAGCTGTGTGCTATTACGTTATGGGGAAATTTAGATGCCAATTTTTCCTTATTATACACAAATAGAAGATCCTGAAACTTCACCCATAAATGTGGA